GTTCCTTTGGCCCACTGGGAACCATATTTCTGCGTACTCCTCCAGGACGAACAATGCTTCACCTGCTATCGATCCGAGGAAATGGCGGTAAGTGGCTGTTGTCTATTCACGCTCCACACGGAGAGGGAAAAATTATGCAATTGTTCAGGTAGTTCCCTCTGTTGATGTAGATAGCGATTCAGTCGGTTCAGAAGATATCAGGATGAGGATTGAAAATATTTGGAAAGGCCAGCTCTATCCCACTTCTTGTCATGCTCCGTGAGAAGCACCTTACGGATGCAGGCCACAGTACTTTCGGTGTTCATGGGTTGGTTGATGGACAAAGCAGAGAAGAGAGAAATGTCTCTGAGGGGGGAAATTGAATATTCAGCATTATGCTAAGTATTCTTGCTTTGTTTCTAGCAGGCGGAGGTGTATGGGTTTGGTTGGGGGGGAGGGGATGCAGGTGAAAACAGAGGAACAGGCAGCATCAGGGCAAGAGATTTGTAGTTTCCTCCAGGATATCCCATCCATTCACGGGGTCAAGCCTCTAGAGGAAGGAAATCACAGCAGCTTAGGATGTGAAGTACCGCCTACGCTATAGGAGGCAGAGTCCTTTCTCACCCTCCTCTCTCCCTAATTCGTTCTACTCGTGCGTACGGTTTCTTGCATCTGCTAATGTAGCTGTCAACACGGCAATTCCACAAACCGGCCTTAATCACGAAACAGAGGCTCTAAGCAAGAAAATACTCAATATAGCACACAATACGTTACTGATGCATCCACTTCAGTGGCAGAGACAACGCCCGAACATGTTTGGATGCATACTACTGCAAGCCTTTTTACGTTTAATTTCATGTGCTATTTATTCCTCGGAGACATATTCTCCCTGATCGAGAATGATGATGCAGAGCCTACTTTTGTGAGGATCACGTGCCTCCATTCATGCGTTTCGAGAAATTCGTCATGCTTTTTCTGCGGCAAGATTCTTTTCACAAGTTGATATAGGCTAGCCGCCAGAGGTCATGCCGTCGTACTATAGGACCATGAATCTCCGGATCGAATGTTAGTCATGACAGGATATCCATCCTACGCCATGTGAGTGCCATACCCCTCTGCAAACAAGATAGGCTTGCCTAAGCCAGTCGCCAAGCCTTCTTTCGCCAAGGCGGGCTTCATTTGAGCACTTCCTTGAACATAGCTCAATTATATGATCAACCACTGCAGTTGTTTTCTCCTTCAGCTATTGTTGAAATTTCTGGCCGAATCCATAGCTTGGTATGCTAAGAATCGATAATGGGTGGTGGATAAAAGCTGGAGGGCACTGGAAAGGATCAGGGTAGGAAGCAGGAGACGGGAGGAGGGGGAAGGAGAGCTGCGCGGGAAGGGGGTGGAAGTTGGGGATGGAGAGTAGTGTAAAGCCAAGGGAACAAGTAGAAGGGTGGGGAATGGTGTGAAGCCATGAAAGGAAGCAGGACATCCTGAATTTAAACACCATTTTTTACCTCTCGGTCAGCATCCATTGCCAAGATGTGTGCAAATTCAAAATAAAATATGCATTTCACAGGAACTTCGCAAGAAACGATCTCAGTAGGTATCTTTGCCACATGTGTCCGCTTATAAATTTTCACGGTAGTCAATGCAATGTCTTTTTAGCTTTTGTCAGCCAACGAAAGCGGGAATAGGCAGACGGGAGGGAACTACAAGTTGCTTCTTTAACTTTTTGGAAATAAGATTCACAATGGGCAAAAATGATATACTATTGAAATCAGACTCCTCAGCATTGCTCCCAAGGCAGAAAACTCGAGTGAGATGTGAGGAATGGGGTTCGCCCGAAGTTTTCGCTCATGAAATGATCTGCCTTTTGAGATCGAAAGGCGAATGAGGAAAGGAGGGACATCTAACGGCATAGACTACAGTTAGTAGATTCTATAGACATTCGCTAGATGGCTCGTGCTTCTTGCTCGCAGCTACGGACTCTCAGGCCACGATAGATATTACACCTTTTCAACACCAAAGCGTGAGTGCCCCCCGGAGCTTTCTCTAACGGGAATGGCCCTTCACATGCCATGCAGCAGCCCTTCAAGCGGGCATTGTGAAGGGAGCCCTGAATTTGGTATGCCTTCATCGTTCATTGAGGTATTCTTCAGCGACGTGGTATGAGCTTATCACAAATGTTACCTTGGTATTTCGAATTTTGCTTCAAAACCGACTCAAACGTCTCAAGGGCAAAGTGAATGTATCCAAATTATACAAGTTTTATATGGAGTAACAAAGAAATAACCTATGCTTCGTGTTGTCAAACGTTTTTCTCAGAAACCTCTCAGATCAAACAGACGAAGGAGAAAGTGAAATAAGTATAAGAAAGAAAACAAATAAACTTTTTGTGGCCTTGATTATACAGGATGGGCTTAACTTTCCTCCTTTTCTAGGTTGGGTATTGTTGAGGGATATCAACGGAAACTTCATTCGGACCATGAGGAACTTATTGATCGTACGTGTGAAGGATCGGTGTTGAACCATGTGAACCAATTTTTTTTCGTGCGCCGGGCACAGCGTTAAACTCGACTATGGTGTGCAACGTTACTGTTTCAATTATTAGTTACCCAAACTTATTAAAAAAAGCCACCTCCATCTGATTACGAATCTACGATCTGAAAAGAAGAATCGAATTAAGTTTAAAATTCGACATAAAAAGTGCAGGGGAAAGTTACACTTCTGTACTGATTGATGTCTTCAGGAAGTCATTTTGATATGCTCCATCTTTTTAAAAAAATAATTTTCAGAAGCAGTGATTGTGATTTCACAGCCCATGAGAACACATAGATAAAAATAATTAAACCATTATTGCCCGTTATATTGGGATGCATCAAGGTTTTCTGACTTTTTTTTAATAGCAACTCTGTAAATGTTGCCCACAGACACTGCCCATCATTATCACTAATGATTGTTCTAGCATCCTTGTACTTGACTTTGAACAGTGGCAAGGGCACTCGAGTTGATTAGCTTCAAGGCTGAGAAAAAAAGGGGGAGCTCCAAAAGTACGAGAGATCTTATCATATGTGAAAATTGCAGGTCCATTGTCTGTGTTCTCCTTTCTGTCTTGTTTGTCTTCATGGCTTTGGGGCTTCTTTGGCTTTTCTTGCTCGAACTCAATTGTCATTGTACATTCATTCCCTAACCTCGTGGCACTAGCGTCTGAAAGTGAGTTGCTGCTTCCTTCTTAATGGGTCATGATCATGAACTGTGGAATGTTATGGTGGTGGACTTTTCATTAGGGCATGAGCAGACGATAACAGATGCATTTCTTCTCTTCATTTTTCTTCTTCATGCCTTCTCTCATTTACAGATCTTTCCTGGTACTCCTCAGCATCTCCGAAAGCCCCCGAAGTTGGTAAGTTCACCGATGGAATGAAATAGTCCATTACCGAGTCATGTAATGTACATATCATGTACTACTCATGGTCTGTATGCTCCTCCTCAATTGCTTCAGTTCCACTTATCTTAAACCTTCTAATGATGTTGTGCACCTTTTTATTGACCCATCCATTGCCATACTTCGCCTGCCTCGGTTCTTTCTTTTTTCATTTATGCAGCTGTTTTTCAGGCTCTTCCCCTCGGTTGCGAAATTCGCATGCTCTCAACCTTTGACAGTCATATCGTAATTTTGCCTAAGTGTAGGCTATCCAGAACGTTGTTTTTCCTTTGCCTTTCGCGCGCCTGGGTATTTGTGGATTTATTATGAAAGGTGTTAACACGTATTGTATGAAAAGGGAGGATATCCCATCAGCACATTTACGGATCATTTACTGTCGCACAAATTTAAAACCTTAACTTACGAAAAGGTGCGACAATAAAAAAAATAATAATTTCTGTTCCATGGGACTATACGGATTGTGCTTCTCATCCTCACTCTTGACGTAAAACATTTTTATGGTCGTTGATCATTCGACCTACCATATTTTCTCAAAGCGAAACGTTAAAAAAGCGATCTAATTTCATATGAAAACGATGATATTGACTTCCAGTCATCGAGTAATTGAGAGGAGTGAAAATCTGTACTGTGCGCGTATCCGTTCAATGGGCCGATTTACCAATACCTGAATCAATTTCCCCCCCTAATTGGCTCTGCTTCATTGCGCTTTGGCCGAATTCTCTCGTATGTGGTAGCGGTTTCTGACTTTTCGGTATTTAGGCTCAATGCGAAACAGTTACGCACCGATGAGAACGGCAATCTTCGCCGCATCAATAAAAAAAAAAAAATTTTTATCCTGATAAAAGTAGCCCAGAAAAATGTTACTACCGGGATCATTTGTTACTTGGCGGAAGTTACCTCCGCTATTAAATACTTGCCCCTCGTGCCCGCGAAAAGAGAACCTTACATTCGTCTTTGATTATTTCATTACAAGGAATACTGAACAATTTAGCAATAAATAATAATAACAAGAAATCGGTGCATGCAATTCCTAACAGTGATTCTGAAGTTGAACTGATTTTACATGTCATCGTTCTGTTTAATGCGACTGATGGAAATGGAAACTCCGAATCTCCAAATTTGTACCATAATTATGGCTAATCGAAATGCAGTAAACTTTAACCAGGTCCGGACTTGCATTGAACACTCAATTTTATAGAGAAAATGCCACCTGCTCAATTGAGAATTTCTGCATTAGTGGCTCGAGGTTCAGGTTCATCCACGGGTATATGCTAATGTCTTGTGAATCTGGGAGGTGCTGTCGCAAAATGCCATTAATATGTGGTATTGCAAGAGAAAGGCCGGAGGAAACGCAGTTCCTGTTGAATTTGCTCATTTCGAGCTTCTCGCATAGGAGCAGACTGATACAGAATGAGAGCGTTCATGACCCCCAGGCGCCATCGCAACTGATTTCGGGTGATGTGGGGTTTTGTACTATGATTAAAGGGCGGATTTATGGACAAGGTCATTTTTTTAAATTCTTCTCTACACATGTAACTTTGTATGCTGGATGGGTTCCTGGTACAAGTGGAGGTAAAATAAGCCCATGTTGGTAGGTCATGTGTTATTTCACGCTTAACGCCAAATTTCAGTCGTATTTGGAGAATTACACTCATCTTTCAATATTTTACTTTATTACGTCAACCCCCCCCCCCCCCCAAGAAGTCTTGTTGCTAATATTGTCTTTCTCAAAGCCGACTGTAGGAATGGAAGACTTAGAGCTACCCAAATAAATAAACATTGCAATTGCCATATTTGTCGATTATTGTCTCATCCTAATGCTGATCTTTGCATAGTTTAGCTGTTCCTGCCTGGCCCGTATGCAATTTAGACACTAGGGCATGATTCATGCCATGTTTGGGTATTTTTATATGTATAATGCAGTTTTTTGGTTATATTTTTCATGGTCACGCATGAGAAATTTTCCTGTCATCTAAATCCGACCTGTAGATATGACGTACCATTGTAATAAGCCCCCGTCACGTCCAGAAGGATCTCCTCTTTGCATGTCCGGGTAGGGAATGGGGTAGTTGCTTTCCTGGAGGAGTTGTCTTCAGTTGCCTTCATCCTTGGTAATGAGGAAGGGTTTCAAATTCCTTAGCACTTTGTATGGGGTGGGAGGGGGGGGAGGTTAAGATTTCTGGGATGTAAAAATTTCCAGTTCACTGGGATACCTGGATTGATAGCAGGTAGCTTTGAATATTGCGCGATTTTTTTGTTTGTTTATACCTTGAGCATATTTCTTAGAGTTCATCACACTTCCACGAGTTAATTTGTATTTTTTTCATTTTCTAGATTGGGGACAGCCTGTTCTTGGATCTTCCTCGGGTTCGCTTAGACGGGGGAGGAAAAGCTTTCAGGAGGCGATGGGGCTACGATTTGGTTCCTCCTCCTACTCTCCTCGAAGAGGAAGAAGAGGATGAAGATTTGGATGAAGACATCTACCCAGACCCTTCCCCTGAGAATAGTGAGATCACGTCCGTTCGGGGCATTCACCACTACGCATCTCCACTAGGTGAGTTGCAATTTAATGTCACTTTTCGAGTAAAGCTAGAGTGGTGGACGTGTAGAAGGACGATGGAAGAAAGTCTCTCTCTCCTTCCGTCTCTAAAGAGGGCCGTGGGTATGATAAATTTGATGTGACGATCACAGGGATCTCCGGCTCCCTTGCATCAGACGACTCCCCAGGTCATTTTTAATGCATAGGAGTGAGAACCCCCACCATTCGACTTACTTCACGGATCGGCACGAAATGATGTACTGTACCCCTCATCATTGGACGCAGTGGTCCTGTTATTGATGGCTACCTGTTACGCAAGACCTTCGTGATACAGATCGAATGAGAATGGGATGCTCGCTGATGTCCAGACTGACAAATTGAGTTGAGCTACATTAGCTAAGGGAAGCAAACGAGAATGGGGGCATCGCTGAGTGGGGGGAAGAACGGAGAATATCATGATGGAATGCCCTGGCCTTCTGTTTCAATTCCAGATAGAGAGAGAGAGAGAGAGAGAGAGAGGAAGAGGGTAAGAAAGAAAGAAAGAAAGGTGAAGAGCCTTATGAATAACCTGGGGCTTTGAAACTCGTCCATCGACAATGGACAACAGAATGATGTTCGCTCGACCCCTGCTAGTCTGGCGTATTTTTCAGCGCTTTCCGCTCGCTCGTGAATAATGATGGGCTCAACCTGACCTTGTTCTGTCCCTTCCTGACGGGGGATATCCGTGTATCTTTCCCACCCTAATATGGCCTCCTTAATTGTTGCCCGGAACGCGTGCAAATGTGCAATGCACCTCAGAGTACCCGACACCTGCAAAGTATGGTATTGTATGGCATGAAGTGGATGGACGTGGTACCCTTGTTTGCAGGCAAGGGTAAACGGCCGAAGAAGTCAACATTCCCATGTCAGGATGTGACGATGCGTGGGCTGCCTTCAGTCCTCACAGAAGTAAAGTGGGAAATGTGGATGACTAATTCCAAGCAGTGACCGGGCTGTCTTCATTCAAGGACTCCCGAGACCAGGGGACTGCATTTTACCAATAGACCCCCCCCCCCTCTCTCTCTCTCTCTCAAAGCGCACTCACGAGTGCCCTTCATTTTGAAAGTCAGCATTTTAGTTCCTCTCTCATTTTAGCCCATTTCGTTCCCTTGACATACGCCCCGACGCGTGATGGAAATGAAATCAAGGGTGCTCTTAGTTCCTGTTCTCAATTTGCTCAAATTCACTAGATCTTGAGAATCTTCACATGACCCGTCCAAGTATCATAAATAGAGATGTGTTTGTAATGAGAGAGATAATTATCGTCGGGCGGAGATTTTTTGGATACTGTCCTTGGGAATAACGGGGAATTTTCTCATGGTCCCATTTCTTAATGAAAGCCAGGCTGCAGCCTCCGTGACAGAGATGTGACCCGTAGATGTTGGCCACTTGGATCTAGAAGAATCAATCCCTGCCCGATCAGCGCACGACACGAGCCCGGGGGTCAATAGCAACGATGAGCATTCGTGATTCACGAATCCCACTGTTGTGATGCAATCTTGGAAATTGCGCGACTCTCCCTTCCAATTGATTGAGCTTCTTGGATCCCATATGTTTCAGACCACCCTCGTCCTCCTTTCCACGCGCTTCTCTTGCTAAGGGGTCATTCTGCGGTACGATAATGAGGCAATCACATTCTGCAGACTAATTTTGCAGTGTGTAGAGGTTCCTCAATAAAAAAAGAAGCAAGAATGCAAATTGGGTATGGGTTGAGCAGGAGACAGGGTGCTTGTACCGCATAAAATTACCATGTGATTCACCGAAGGTCCCACGTGAACGAGTGAGAACCTGTAGGGCAATGCTAGAAAGGGTGACGCTGAATGCATGATGTCTGTCGTGTAGAATAGAGAAGGTAGTGCTAGTCGAAGGAAAGGAAAAGGATCTCGTTTTGGGAATCCCGGTTGATGTGCTGATAAGACCTGAGAAGCACGATCCTGGCCTCAATCCCTTCACGTTGACAATGTCCGTGAGTTATGCCGAGGTCCGTCCGTGCTCGTAGTGCCAAGGACGATCCAGGCCGGCCTGGTCTGACTTATGGCTTAAGGCTCGAGGCTTACCTCATCTCAATCGCACGAATCCCCTCCCCCACCCAATCACGCCATCAGTCAAACCATCTTCCGTCCCCGCTCGTCTCGTGTCATCGCCTTGATTGTCTTGCCTTATGACCGGAAGAACGTGCCTCCACTGCACAATATCACGATCCCAACTTCGACCGGCCATTGGCTCCTTAGTTAACTGTCATCGATCATCTGCTCCAGTTTTATTCCGCCTTCCCGGGAAGAACTCAACTGGGATTCTCATGGGTTGCGTGAGTTGCTGTGATTGGGGTTTTGTCCAATTTAGAGAATGATGATTTGTGAGCTTAATTTCAAGTGAAATCTCAGGTGTTCGTTAGTTTGCGATATTGTGGAAAAAAAGCAAGGCTCTTCATTCCAGACGAGGGGGACAGTTTTACTACTGTAGGTGTAATCAGCTCTTACCAGGGGAAAAGACTCCCTATTGCGAGAGCCTCGTGGACGCTAAACAAGAGCTCATGTATCCTGTCCTGGGAGCAAGTCTCCAGGGAAGTCAGGAACAAGACGAATGGATGCAAAAATGTCACTCGTGTCGGACAATGACATGTCTTCATCAGTCGGGTATCACACGATCCGCATGCTCATGCTCGTGCAGAGCCTTTTAGTCTGGCCGTGCCCATGCCCATAGCTTCGCTAATGGCATCCAACGGTCTCCCCTTTGTGCTTGTGACACATCCTTCCTAGGAGATCCTCTCTCATGTCCAGAGATTTCTATCCAGTATTTTGACGTTGGTATGAGCACGTGTCCGACCTCCTTCATGCCTGGAAACCTGCCACATCCTCCTCTTTTGTAAAAGGTTGAAATTTTAAAGATACCACTTGGGTCATTTTCCTTCTTCCGGGGCGGATCGCTTTGAACTATTTCCAGAAGGGAAAGGAAGAGGGACGAAGACAGCATTCATTCCGGAAGGCAGAAGGAAAAATGGAGTTGAAGTTAATTGGATTATTGTTCTGAACCGCTCACATTGGGCAGGTAGCCGGTGTTCCGCTTAGCTTATGCATGGAGGACTACGTGTATTCTCTCACGCCTGTGTGAATCGAGCACACCTCCCTTGCGAAGTGAAATCCGACATGGACTCATGGTCACGCTGGATATCAAGGCTCCATAACTGTGTCCATTGATCGAGCTTCTTACCAATCTGTGGTCATCCTGTTTTGTAGAAGCCACGAACTATCACGTTATGCTCCACTTTTTTCGTGTTTTTCTGGTGGACGAGTGATAGGATCGGATTTTTCCCCCCAATATGATCCGTCCATGTAAAGGAAACTCCATATCCTTACAAGGAAATCTCTATGCCCCTAAGTCCATGCGCATAAGCTTCGTGAAATGCCATGGAGAAAGTAGAAGAGTGAAGGGATGAGATCATCTATCATTCTCCATTCCAAAGAGATCGAGATCCTTAGTTCTCATTCATGGGAATCGGGAGGTCTCCATCTTCCTTTCAGGGACAGTGTCTGACGGCACGTTTTTTCGCCTCCTGCTGCGATCTGTCTAAAACCATGTCGCATGACGTTCTCAGTTCTCTGGCTGTAAAGAATGACGCATAGGTGACCGTTAAGTCAACTCCCACCGCGATGGTTTTGGTCACAGAGGAAAACATTTTTTGTAGTTGCAATAAGTCGTATATATTCTTAGCTTCAATGTCGTGCGGCATTACCTTTCTACGAAGGGACTACGAGCGAGAAGAGAAAGTCACGGAGCTCTACGGTGGGCTGCACAAGAATTGGAAATTTCAAAATCCAACCACCTGTTCCACTTCCTTGCTACTGTCATCCGCATCATATTTATGACGTAATGCTTCTTGCACGGTTTGTCTTCCTTCGTGGATTGAAAGCGTGGAGATATGTCAACTATTCTGTTTGTCACCATAGCATTCCCTAGGGTTCACATATTTCTCCAGTCACGTTTTCTTCATTCTTGTGCCCTCTTTGCCAAGTTCCCTCAAATAATGGAAGTGGGATTTCTACGGGTGCCCTAAAAATTGTTATAACCTACTTTCGTTGTGCGTTTCTTCTTCGTTGCACACATGACTTACGCCCATGAAAGTCTGTTCCGGCCTCAGTTCACATCGTTCCCCCACTTTTGCCATTAACCAGTTCTCCAAGATACAGGGCATTAGAGGCGTAGTAGCTGTGGCGTGATGGTGGTGGTCGACCAGAACTCCTGGTGGCTTGATGGGAAATAATTAGGCCCGTCCAGGAAGGGGATGGGGAGAGGAGAGTTAATTAAGCGGTTGTGACGTCAGTGGTGACGTATCCCGGGTCGCGGGACTCGCGATGGGACCATGTGAAAGCCAGGTAGGCTGAAGGCTTATTGGGCAAAGCTGTGCCTGTGCGCTCTGACCGTGTCACGCCATACATCTCATGCACCCGCCCGCCTGCTCTGCTCTCTCTTCAGTTCCACGATCGCTACCTTCCTAAAACGGTGTCTGGCTCCACAGTTTCCTCCCCTCGCCAGCTGTGTGCGAATCCTAATCCGTGTATTATACTGCATGCGAATTGGACTCCGGGAAGACACCTAGATCGAATTTCCCGCCTTTCGCTAGTCCCTTTCGATCCATTCGAGATTATCAATCCCGCCCCCTGATGGGGTTTCCTCCTACCGTCTACCAGATGATCTATCATTTTCTTGCCGTTAGTGATAAATCAGGTCGTTAACTCCGCCTGGCAGTGGAAGATTTTTCTCTATGCATAGCATCTCGAGCATGGTCTATCTCTTCCTCGTGGCTCATGATGCGATTTCCCGTGCTCTCGAACGAGTGGTAATGAATGAGCTACTCATTTTCGCGGACAGGCCTGCTGATTACCTCAACATCCCTTACTGTCTTCCCTGAGTCCGTTCACTTGGCATTGAAAAAACGAGGAAATAGTGATTGATTCTCGTTGAGGAGGCGGGGCTTGGCGAGTTCCCTGGCGTGGTGTGCTTTGAATGAGTGCGAGTGAATACGGTGCTGAGACTTGAAACTGAGCGGGTGAGCATCGTGATATTCGTGGGGTGATGAGATGGTCTTGAAAGTGGAGTTCTGCGGAACATGGGGTCGGTCGCAGACGTGGAGACGGCAGCTGCCCAACCGCAGAGGTAATT